CTTTTGTAATGCAGTAGACCTAAAGGCAGAAAACCCAACAAATTGCATCTTACTTGAGACTGTTTTATATTGTTTATAGGCTGGAAAATAGAAATAGTGTGACTGTATTGATGCAAATTCTGTGACCTCCTATAGAACTATAAATTTTGTTCATCTCAAATATACTTTATTTACACCACAGTTAAAGTTATGGCTCCATCTACCAAAAAGGGAAATGGCACAAATTGAGTGGAAGAAATGAGGATGGGGGTGTGTGTGTAATACATTAAATTGCCTTGGAAGCATGTTGATTTATCAAGCAGAGTTAAGTATTCTGGGGCTACTAAAACCATTGAAGTGAGAGCATGCACTGAAGTTCTGCTCCTTCATGTGGCCACAAACTATGAAATGTCTGAAGATTTCTGCTGTTGCTTTGTTCCAAGGAGTGTTTATACTTTTACTAAGCCAATCCAATAGTTAGATGTTCTTGCTAGGGATGTTTCTGTTCACTAGCTGTTCCTGCTTTTCTGCACTGGTAATCACCTAATCCTGTGGTGAGCTGCTTCAGAAGGTGAAGCTAGTAAAAAGGAGATTACTGTTTCTGTGGTTCACCTGCATGAATTGGCTCATAATTATGTCAAATGCTAATGCAGGTATAATGGAGAAAACCAGGATGGGAGAAGAGGCAAAAGGAGTAAGACTGTCAGCATTTACCTGTTAAATCACTTTAATTGTAAGAAAGAGGAGCACATAAAAAAAAAAAAATCTGTAAAATATTAACTATAAAATGCCAGTTTTCACACTGTTTTCAGTTCTTTGCTTTCAAAGATGCAACACAATTTTTACTGAAGTGGTCATTGTTCTCTTACAACTTCCAGTTTCTTAATGTTGTGGGAAAGAGGAAAAAAAATAAGTTTAATTAGTGGGAGAAGTTTGGAGAATGGAAACAATAATAACTTTTTTTGCCAAGACCTCTGTAGCTCATTCTTGGAGAGTGAGAAGTGGGGTGTAAAAATCCAGATGTCACATTAGCAAGAAACTTACATTCTCTTGTTTAAGTTTTGATTTCTGAATACTGACTTCTAGGATGTTTAGACACTTTTACCACTGGGCTAAAACTTAGACTGGTGTTGTGAATTAATCTTCTTAGGCCACTCCATTTAAAAAAAAAAAAAAAAAGTCTTGGAAATTGAAAGTTCTAAAATGGTAGCTATTGTTAGTCAGTTGAAACTTCTGAATTGACTACATCATGAAACAAAGCAGAAGGCACCACTTCATGCATTTCGAATCATGGAAAGGAAGCTTATGAGTATAATTGAGTGCACATGAAATTCATGGAAACTGAACTATTGTCTTGATGGATGAATGTACCAGTATAGTTGTATCTTAAACCTTGAGTTAATAATGGAGTCAAAATAAGGTCTTATGGCCAGACCTAGTTAGTAAGGAGCTTCTGGCAAGAAAATATTTTCTTACTGATGAGGTCCTGGGACTTTTTATAATGGGAGATGCATTTTGCAGAACAGTAAAGGATTTTTTATTCTCTTCCAATGTCAGGAAGAAGTTTGGATTGTAAGATTGTTTCAGGTCTTCATCTTTTATATGACTGCAGTGTTTTGCTGTTTTTAGACAGGAGGCTAGAGGATCGCTTTTCTCAAGCAAAATTTACAGTTAAATGAGAGTCACCAGTACCACTTGAGTTTCTAGGTCTCTTCCATACTTTATTTTCTTTCCAACATTAAGGTAAACTAGAGAGTCCTCAGTAATCAAGACTATGCAAAAGTAGAAATGTGCCTTCCAGGTATTAAATTCTTACTGAGGAAGTTAAAACTGATTTAAATATTATGTTTTAAAATGGAAACTTCCCAGTAGGATAAACCTATATCTGGCAGTCTCTCTTTGTTTCTAAAAACATCTCTTTAGAAGATATTTTTCTTGCAGGATGAGTGACTCTGTATGTTTGGCATTCATAGTAGTAGTAATCAAGAGATAGGAACTTACCTTTGCACTTAGTAGCTTTATCCCTAGATATTTTGCTAAAATTGAGGGATTTTACCCTTTTATTTTACATTCATTTTTTTTTACAGTGTGACCTTTGTAGCCCTTACCCTAGTAAGGGTCAGAGCTTTTGTCTTCCAGATACAGATCTAAAATATCAGAGTATGCATTTACTTACTTGTAGGTCTTCTGAGCTTCTGTAATGCTTCAAGTTTGCACATGACATTTAAAAATCCTGCCCAGAAGACCAAATAAGACTTAATCCTTCAGTATAGGCAGTGTTTGTGAAAAAACGGTTTTGTTCACGAGACTCAATTTTCTAATCACTTGAGGTTAATCTTTCAGTTTGAGTAACAAAGGTAATGCTGCTCTTTAGAAAAGGATTTTGGTGCTGATAAATCAGCATATCAATTTTGATACAGTAATCCTGTTAGCAATTCAGGATAGTTTCAGAAGAGATACAATCCACTTGTATGAGAAATGTATCAGTAAATAACATTGAGACAGAACAACATACCTATTATAAAATTAAAGCAACACAAGCTTCCTTGTGTTGAAATTTATCTAGTCTCAGTTAAACCATATGACTCCCTTTTCTCTTCCATCTGCTGCTGCTTCCACACTGGAGTTAACTTTTTGGTGCACAAAACCTCTTGGACATCTTATAAATGGGAAGTGTCCCATCTGGGTTAGGTATGTGAATATTCAGGGGGTCTCACTGTGTCTAAGCAAAAGAAAGGGGTGATTCTTTGAGTGGAGGGACTGAAAATGGTCAGATTTGTGAAGGTTGCATTGCAGAAGATAACACATTGGTTTGGATAGACAATAAAATCTCCTTTTCCTTTTCCCATTTGCCTGCTCATGGTTACTTGTGAGTATGCTCAGCAGTTCAAACATAACTACCCCCTCTTTATTTTTCCCTCTCTTTATAGGCTTTTTAATAATTCCATGACCAATGGCATCTGAAGAAACTTCAACTTAGAAGTTCAGGTTCTTGCCCCTGTACCTGATTCTACAGCCTACTTAGTTAAGAATGTATCACCTTCATCTTTGTAGAGACCTTAGCTTGTGTTCATGACTAATATTGTAGGATTGAGCAAAGGGGAAAAATGCCATCTCATCCAGGCAGTTGGCTTTGCATAGGCATACAATTAAGCTTAATTTTTTTGATTAGTGCTGCAGCATGTAGTTGCCCACTGTGAACTTATTTACTAAATGGTAAACATCTGTTCTCATACATGAGTTGAGTTTCTGCAGATTCTTAACAGTATGATCTGTCTCCGATTAATTCATGATGCAAATATCTTAAACTGCTTCACAAAAGCATACTGTAACTTTTAGCACTACTTGACCTAGTAGGAGAGCATCTTCTTTCTTTCTTGAACTTATTTTTAAGTAAGCACAACTTTATGTGGACCAATAAAAGTGATTGTTCTAGTAGTTGACAGTTTTATTGAGGACTGTTTCTACAATGGGCATCCATTTTAGCTAGGATGCAAGTTTTGCTTTTTAGTGGTTCATCATTTAGGCTGCTCAGTATTCACAACTGTCAGTCTCCCTTAAATGACCTTTTTCTTTCCCCAAGAAAAGCTTTAAAATATTTTCTTGTTTCTGTTCTTGAAAATATTTTCCTAGACAGCCTAGTCTCTAACTGAAGAATCTAATTGGGAAAGCAAGGCCATGTGAGGGCAAGCAGTACTGTTGGAGATCTATTTAAAGTTTGCTTGGTTTAAGTGAAGAGTCTTTGCTTTCAGGCAATTAATCTTTAGAGAAAGAGAAATATAATACTTAAGTGATTAGTTTAATGGTAAAAAGCCTTGATGATCTGAGCCAATAATGTCTTTTAATAGGGTAACTCCTAAACGACTAATTGGCCAAGTCCAATCTCTTGATATACTTTGAGCCAGATGGCTTGGAATGGAAAAAACGCTAGTGGTTTGGGGCAAAGAATGGATTTTTTCCATTATTTTCAAGCTCAGAATGCTTTGGAGTTAAGGATGAGATGAAAAGCAGCAGTAAAAAAGGGAAAGCTACTGTCGCCATTGTGTTGTCTGACAAATAAATTTTACAAGATATATGTTGAAAGTTGTTTCAGAAGGCTGTAGCTTGCTTTTCAACCTTCTTAACCTAAAAAATAATTGGTCATTTAAGAATTGAGGCAGTTGGGTGTTTTCAGACTTCAGTAATTCCTGTAAATCCCTGTATCTGTGCTTGCCTCCTTGCTTGTTGTCTAAGTGCTCCAGGCATCCAGTGCTTTAACATCACCGGTATGGCTGCTCATGATGCATCTGTAATTGCTATTGGTCAGGCTGAAAGGAGGAGGAATAGTAATAAGTAATATCAGTTCCACTACAGTACATTTTTCTGTAATCCTACGTCTATCTTGCTTCCACTAAAGAATTATCACTCGCATTTCAGAGGGAAAGTGAGGGGAACAGAACTCCTAACCAGCAGTGAAGTCGGTGACTAGTATGCATATACTAGTCTCAACTGGCAGATCATCGTCTTGTTTCTTGGTAGGTGGAGCCCTAACTTTGCTGTTTCTGGGTAGAATGGGAGAAGACTATAACACTTACAGTGAGTGACTTTGTCGTACAAATAAGTACAATCCAGAACACTGTTCAGAGGACTGATTCTGTCATGACACCTAAAATTCTAGCCATTGTATCACTAAAAGTGTTGCTGTTCTTTTTCTGTTTTTTTTTTTCCCAACCTTAGTACCTATCTTTGAATTTGGTAGTGGTATAACTTTGGCTTTAGATTGCACTGACTGGAACTGACTGTGATTGCTCTAGACCTGTTGACATTGTCTCCCTGATGCAGGTTCAATGAAACTTTTGCTAGATGTGTAAAATAAACATAGTGATGGCTTGTATTTTATTTTTTACCATTGAAAAAAAAAATCATGAAATTTTACAGTGTTCACATGAGTTGATATTTGGGTGCATTTTCACATGCATAGTCTGTATATACTGTACTTTCTGTAAAGTTGCTTTTCTTTTCCCCTTTTTCTCTGCCAAAAGGATTCTGATACACCACCTTGCACAGCTCCTAATGTTTACCAGTTCAGTCTGCAAGCACCGCCTCAGCTTATGGCCAGTTTACCACCCGCATTGCCTATGCCAAGTGGTAAACCCCAATCTGCGCCTACGAGAACCTTGATAATGGCCGCCAGTAATCAGGTATGAGCCAAATAATGGAGCGACTTTTTCATGAGAAAGTGATCAAATTGGAAGTGTAGAACATTTGCGCTGTGCTGTCAGTCTAAAAACCTCTGAAGATAACCTTCATGTAGCATGTGCTAAACTTCATGTATTCATAAAATTATCTGCCATGTCAGAATTGTGGGGAGAAGAATGGGTGGGAAAGGGTTCAGTGTTTGAAATGCATCTCTGAATATAATAGTCCTTCCACAGCACACTGACACCTAGGAGTAAGTTGGAGGAAGAGTGTCAGATGTCTGACTCCTTAAGTTGTATTTGAGACTCCTGGTGCCTAATCGGTGGGATATTTGCAGATCTTTAGGTTATTTAACATCCTGCTCCTGAAATAGAAACTTCATGTAGGTGGTGTATCTGTAAGCTAGTTTTTGAATCTGAAGAAATAGTACTGACCTGTCTAGGCTTGTTTGGTTGTCTTGATTTTTGAATTATTAGAACAGCTCTGACTACACACTTTCTGTAATACATTTTAAAGATAGAGAACAGAATATTAATTATGGACATGTGAGTAAGAATTTTTACCAAGACATTAAATGTGTGCTTAAATGTACTGGGAGGTGAACATGCAGAGAAACTGTGTTACTCAACTAGCCTGAAATATTTTAGTTAATGTATCAATTATAGTACAAGGAAGAAGAATCTTCAGTTTTTCTTACAGCCTCAGTGCCTTTATCTGTAGAAAAAAAGTTCCCTTAATCTTGATTATTAAAACTATTAGTCTAAACAGTTGCCTCACATGAGCTTTAATGCAAGTTATGGGTTGTAGGTTGCCTGTGATAACAAAATGAGCTGGTTTCTTTGAAACCTGGTTTTGGTCAGGTTCTTTTAATATTTTCCTTCTTTCAGTCTTCATGTCACAGTTCTTGGGAATCCAGAGCCAGGGATATTTTCAACTTAATGACCCTGTCTGTTTTGATTCAGCCCTTGACACCTTGGGGATGACACAAGACATACTTATTTCACTTTCTGCTTTAAGATTGTTCAGGTATTTTTGCAGAGTTGCAGAATAGTTGAGGTTGGAAGGGGCCTCTGGAAATAACCTAGTCCAACCTTCCTGCCCAAAACAGGTTCAGCTATAGCAGGTTGCTCAAGGTCTTGTCCAGTCAGGGTTTTGAGTATCTCCAAGGATGGAGACTCCTCAGTCACTCTGGGCAAATGTGTTCCAGTAGAAAAGTTTTTTTGTAAATGGTGTCTTCAGTATTTCAGCTTATGCCTATTGCTTCTTAGGCTTTTACTGGGCACCAGTGAGAAGAGTCTGGCTCTGTCTTTACACCCTCTCATTAGTTAGATCGATCAATAAGATCCTTCCCAAGCTCTCCTTGAGATTAAACAGTCCTAGCTCTGTTATAATTTCCTTGTATGACAAATGTTGCAGTCCCTTACTTATCTTCATGGACCTTCACTGGACTCAGTCCTGTGTGTCCATGTTTCTATTACTAGGGACCTCAAACTTGGGCCCAGCATTCCATGTGTCACCTCATCAGTGCTGAGTAGAGGGGATATGATGGCCTCCCTTGACCTACTAGAGAGACTCTTCCTAATTTAGCCCAGGATGTTGTTGGCCTTCCTTGGTGTAAGGGCATGTTGCTGGCTCATGTTCAACTTCTCCACTGGGAATCCCTGATCGTTTTATGCCAATCTGCTTTCCAGCTAGTCAGTGCCCAGTGTGTACTGGTGTGTGGGATTATTCATTTCCAAGGGCAGAGTTTAGCATTTCCCTTTTTCAAACTTCATGAGGCTTCTGTCAGCCCATTTCTCCAGCCTGATGAGGTCTCTCTAAGACACCACAACCATCTTATGTATCAGTCACTCCTTCCAATTTTGTATCCTCTGCGACCATGCTGAGGGTCACTCTCTCCCATCATCCAGGTCATTAATGAAGGTATTAACTGATGTTGGCTATACTATCAGCTCTTGGGGTATATCACTAGCTGCTGACCTCCAACTGTGCTGTGTGGTCAAAATGCTTTGAGCCTAGCATGTAAGGAAATACTTTTCATGCAGCTTGTGAGTTTGATTTATATGCAGAATAATGATAAAAAAATCAGGTAGTTCTCTATTGAAACTTTTAGATGAATAATGAAGAAATTTCATCTGAACAGCATTTTCAGTGTTCAGCAATATCAGCATTGAGTTTAGAGCATGTTATAGCTTGATGCCCAGATTCTTCATAGTTAGTACGCAAGTGCTTGATTTAGACACTTCACTGTGGTGTTTTTCACCCTCTTTTTCATTTAGACCAGGCTACTTTATCTTTGCATACTGCAGGTGTTCCACTATTTCCTTGCGGATAGGTTAACATAGAAGGGGTTCCAACTTCGGAAGCTGTTATCACATGCTGTTGCCAGCTACCTCTGCAATCCTCAGTCATCTACCAATCCCCACTTATATCTCAGGGTATGCCTTTTGTTTTAATCTTTCAGGTAATTATACAGATTTCCCCCCCCTGTCCCCCCCGGTTTCCCCCCCTTTACCTGTCCTCTACTTCTGAATCTTACCTAGGCAAAACCACCTTATCTGCAAGATGTTTTCTATTAGTGAGAAGCGATTTTAGTGTCTGTAGTTGAGTATTCACATGCTAGTGTACAGTCATAAAGTTTTTATAAACTAAAACTGGGGAGCTATTTTAAGTTAGACTTAATCTAAAAACCAGACTTAGTCTATTCTTTCACTTAATAACTCTGCTTTTCTGATGAGGTACCCTGGATCTTAACTTCATCAAAATTATCCACAAAAGATTCTAGTTTTGAGGCATGCACTTGGTAAAAAAAAAAAAAAAAAAAAAAAAAAGTTGGCATCCAGTGTTCTTGCCTCAGTTGTGAAGAGGCAGTGTGTTACATGAATTCTGGGTCTGTGTTGGAATTTTGAATCTTGGAAAACAACTGCTTTGTAGCACTTTCTCTGGCTTTCTGTTACTTGGCTGTCCTTTCCAATGCTTGTTAACTCTTCTTTTAGTAGTTTGTACAATACTTGTATGTTTAAAATAGGGAATTTTTCTGTGGCTCTCACTTGACAAAGATATGCCTTTGAGATTTGTTAAATCAGAGGAGTTTCTTGCAATTTACAGTTCAGAAATGAGATGATGTTTTATCTACATTGAATTTACCAAAAGCTTATCTATTGTGAAGTAGAAATGTTCTTTTGATAAGTATGATGATCAAGCCAGAAGTGGAAAATAGTATCATTCTACTGAGAATACTGTAAATGTCTCCTTTTTATTTCTGGACTGAGATTAAATTGATGGCTTTCCTTTTGCAGTTGATGTAACTTAAGACCATATTAGTTTATAATTTTTAATGGGTACAGTTTACTAGCTCAGAGGACTCCTATCCTTACAGACATGTGCAAGCCTTTTTCTTAACAGCAATTGTTCTTTCATATTCAAAGGGATTCATTTGTCTGCATGGTGTCTTGAGCCTTTTCCCTGACAACTTTCTCCACCTCAGTTTATCTTGGAAGCTGTACCCAGCTGTCCAGTACTACTCTCAAAAGCAGGAGGTGCCAATGTCAAGAGCACTAACTGTATTTTGAACAACTTGAAGCCTTCTAGGCAAATTCTCTGCCATTAGAGCTTCCTTTCCTAATACCTTTTTTTTGGAAACAACTTTAGTGTGATTACCAATTCTATTTATGTACTGCATAATTAATTGGAGAATTTCCAGGTAGTTCAGGGAGTAATTAAGCTTCTGATATAGGTCTGGATGCTTTTCAGGATCGTCATCGTCATTTTTCCAAGCCTATCATTCTTCTACTTTGTTGACAAGTGCTTTGAAATTTCATTTGAAAGAGCAGAACAGTTTATAAAGCAGTGCTGCCCACTAGTATAAGCAGAATAACAGGTATTGGCATGCATGTCCAGATGAATGGAGAGGGTAGAAATTGCTTAGTGACTTTCCATCATTAAGAAAGGATTAGTTTCCTTGTTAATTTGGGATGAAATTAAGTTCAGTTTGTTCATGGATTGTTGGTCACCAGTGAAGACAGAAGAAACTTCCTGTTGCTTAGGTATGAAAACGCTTTTTAAGCTGTGTTTTTTTTTCCCAAAGAGTGGTCTTTTGATTCAAAAGTACCTAAAGCCAGTAAGTACAAGTCCTGCTGTGCTGGCTTCCAGTGTGTCTAAGAAAATCTCTGAAGACCCTTTAGATGAGTGGTGTCTGGTCATGAATATGTTCATTAAAAATTTCACTGGCTCAGTTATGAAGCACAGGAGACAAGAAATGAAACTTTAATGTCAATCCTGAAAAAAAGCAGTCTAAATAACTGTTAGAACTTGTAGAAGTAGTTTGTTTTTCAGATTCTTTTGTGTTTGGCCATGTAAGGCCAGTCACTTAAACCTGTAAACTACTTGTTTGTATTGCTTTACAGGCACTTCACTGGCTAAAATACTTTGCCTCAGAGTTTCCTCTTATCGAGAAGAATTGTTAATGTCTCACTAATAATGCTGATATGCTAGTATCTCCAGAATGATTCCTCAAAAGTTAGCAGCATTGGAAATATAACATTGGTCAGGGGCTTGAGTCAAAAATATATTTCTTTCAGATGAGTGTAAGTGGTTAAGTGTAGTTCACTGGGATGAAAGATAGATTTGTAAAGTTACATTTTAATTCATGTCAAGGCTGAACTCTAGTCCAGTTTACAACTGGACTACTCAAATGTAAAAATATGCTGAATTCCCTTAGTATAGTGTGATGCTTCAGAGTTTTTAGTATGTTAACTTCAATTTAGATGTGACCTGTTTTGTTTCTTCAGTGACATTATTAAGCAGTTCAGGTACCGAAGGTTTCTTCAGTCAACCAACTGGCATTTTTCTTATCTTTTATTTAGAGCGTGCATTTAGGGTGGAATACTTATTCAGTGTCCATACACTTTCTTAGGCAAAGAAATGAGGATTCTCTGTCTACTTTGGAAGCTGTTTTGATTCTAAATGTCAGACACTCATCTTCTGTGTATGTCAGAACATT